CCTCAGCTTCCCAAGTAACTGAGACTACAGGCATGTGCCCCTTGGCTAATTTTTTGACTTTTTTGTAGAGATGAGGGCTCCCTATGTTGCCCAGGCTGGTCTCGAATTCCTGGACTCAAACAATACTCCTGCCTAAGCCTCTCAAAAGTGTAGGATTACAGGTGTAAGCCACTGCCAGCTTGTTGAATCAATATTGATACTGTTTTTTTTTTGGTCAGAATTTCACTCTGTTACCTAGGCTGGAGTGCAGTGACATGCTCATAGCCACCGTAGCCTTCACCTGCTGGGATCAGGTGAGCGAGCCTTCCACCTTAGTCGTCCAAGTAGTTGGAATCACAGGTGCACTCTACCGTGCCCAGCTAATTTTTTGATTTATTGTAGAGACGTGGTCTCGCCAAGTTACCCAGGCTGGTCTCGAACCCCTAGGCTCAGGCAATCCTCTTGCTTCTGCCTCCCAAAGTGCTGGGATTACAGGCATGAACCACCGCACCCAGCCCCAATATCAAACCATTTTTATTAACTGAGGTCCGTAGTCTACATTAGGGCTCACTCTTGGTGTTGTACATTCTATGGATGTTGACAAATGTGTCCACAATTGCAGTATCATACAGAGTAGCTTCACCACCCTAAAAATCCGCTCTCCCCCTCCTATTTACCCCTCCCTCCCTCAGCCCAAACTCTTGGCAACCAGTGGTCTTTTTACTGTTTCCATAGTTTTGTCTTTTCCAGAACATTCTAGAGTTGGAATCACAAAATATGTCACTCTTTCAGATTGCACTATGCACTATTAGCAATATGCACCTCCGTGTCCTTTCATGGCTTTGATACAGCTCATCTCTTTTGATCACACACATCATTTTATTGTTATTTGCCTTTTTTAGAAAGCATTGTTATAAAATGTACAATTTATTATTTAATCCATTTTAAGTATGTAGTTTAGTGGTATTAAGTACCTTCACAGTGTTGTACAACCATTACCACTATTCATTTTTAGAACTTTCATTATCGCAAACAGAAACTGTACCCATGAAGCAGTCACTCCTCATTCCTGCCTCCCCTTGGTCCCTGGGAACCACTGTTTCATTTTCTTTCTCAATAAATTTGCCTATTCCAGGTACTTAATATAAATGGAATCAAACAATATTTGTTCCTTTGCTTCCACTTTATTTCACTTAACCTTGTTTTCAAGGTTTATCCATGTTATAGCATTTGCCAGAATTTTATTCCTTCTTTTTTTTTTTTAGTTGGAATCTCACTCTGTCACCCAGACTGGAGTGCAATGGCCGCTCCTGGCCACCGCAGCCTCGACCTGCTGGGCTTCAGCGATCCTTCTGCCTCAGCTTTCCAAGTAGCCGGAATTACAGGCATGCGCTACCACACCTGGCTGATTTTTTGATTTATTGTAGAGATGAGGTCTTGCTGCCCGGGCGGGTCTCAAACCCGCGGGCTCAGGCAATCCACACACCTCAGCCTCCCAAGGCATTGGATTACAGGCTGAGCCACCGAGACCGGCTTATTTCTTCTTTTTTTTTTTTTTTGAATTGGAGTCTTGCTCCATCACCCAGGCTGAAGTGCAGTGGCATGCTCACTGTTGTGTTCAGGAGATCCTTCTGCCTCAGCCTTTCAAGTATCTGGAACTACAGGTGTGTGCTACCATGCCTGGCTAATTTTTTGATTTATTGCAGAGACGAGGTCTCATCAAGTTGCCTAGGCTGGTCTCGAACCCCTGAGCTCAGGCAATCCTCTCGTTTTGCCTCCCAAAGTGCTGGGGTTATAGGCCTGACCCACCATGCCTGGCCAGAATTTCATTCCTTTTAATGGCTGAATAACATCCACTGTATGAATATGCCATATTTTGTTTGTTTATTCATCTGTTGTTGGGCAGTTTGATTGTTTCCACCTTTTGGTTATTGTGAATAGTGCTACTATAAACATTCATGTACAAGTTTTTGTTTGAACACCTGCTTTCAGTTCTTTTTTATTTTTATTTTTTGAGTTGGTGTCTCACTCTATCAACTAGGCTGGAGGACAGTGGCATGTTCCTGGCTACCACAGCCTCGACTTGCTAGGCTCAGGTGATCCTTCCGCCTCAGCCTTCCAAGTAGCTGGAACTGCAGGCAAGTGCCACCATGCCTGGCTAATTTTTTGATTTATTGTAGAGATGAGGTCTTGCCAAGTTGTCTAGGCTGATCTCGAACCCGTGGGCTCAGGCAATCCTCTACACCTCGGCTTCCCAAAGTGCTGGGATTATAGGCTTGAGCTACCTGAAGGATCGCCTGGACCCAGAAAGTCAAGGCTGTGGTGAGCCATGATCATGCCACTGTACTCCAGCCTGGGTGACAGAGACTCTGACTCAAAAAAAAAAAAGAAAAAAGAAAGAAATTGCTGGATTATACAGTAATTCTGTTTAACCTTTTGAGGCACTGTCAAACCATTTCCCACAGTGGCTACACCATTTTACATTCCCAGCAGGAATGCCAGAGGATTACAGTTCCTCCACATCCTCACCAACAATTGTTATTTTGTGTTTCTTTTCTTTTTTTTTTTTT